GTGATGCCTGACCTTTAAACTCCCACAAACGTGTATTTACTGAGCAATTACACTTTAAAGTACCAAAGAGGCAGTGTATCAAAGGGAATAAATTAAGGCTTGCCAGGATCTCATAACAAAAGAAGGCAGAGTACATCTGCCCACAAAGCACACAATGAGGCTCTCTTCTAGCACACACACTTTTTTCCCTCAGAAATCCTCCCTGTTTTGTAACTAAGACACACAAAAGTTAGGCCCAGCCCCATATCACAGAAGCTAAACTGTGGAAGGCTAAGAAGGGCTGAGGGAGAGTTTCTGTAAATATGAACAGAACCAAGGTAGTGTGGTGAAGATGCCATCTTTAAGCAAGTAACTGCTGGTGTCTTTGTATGGTGTGTGTTCATGTGTGTGGGTGCACATATGTGCATGTGGAGATCACAGGACAACCTTGAGTGTTGTTCCTCAACCACCATCTACATTTTGGGGGGGGACACTGGCTTGAAACTGGCTGAGTAGACTAGGCTGACTGACCAGGGAGCCCAGGATCTGCCTGTTTCTGCCCTGCCCCCAGTACTGGGATTACAAGATGTGCTCCATGCTCAGCTTTTGGTTTTTATTTGTTTTTAAAAAATATTTATTATTGGGGCTGAAGAGATGGATCAGCAGTTAAGAACACTGGCTGTTCTTGCAGAAGACCCGAGTTCAAACCCCAGCACCCACATGGCAGCTAACAACTGCCCTTAACTCCAGTCCCAGGGGATCTGACAGCCTCTTCTGACCAATACGGGGACTGCACGACACGGGTGTACTTACCTACATGCAGGCAAATACACATATATACATAAAATAAAAATAAAAAAAATTTTAAACATATTAATTTTTATGTGTGTATGAGTGTATTGCCTGCACGTGTGTAAGTGTACCCATGTCATGCAATGCCCCTGGAGGTCAGAAGAGGGTGTCAGATGCTCTGGAACTGGAGTTAAGGCCAGTTGTTAGCTGCCCTGTGGGTGCTGGGAACTGAACCTGAGTCCTCTACAAGAGCAGCCAGTGCTCTTAACCACTAAGTCATCTCTCCAGCCCCGAGAACAGAGCTATTTTGATGAAGTTTAAAGAAGCCTCTCTTGTCACTCGGTAGTGAGGATACAGTTCAGGCACCTGATGAGCCCAGTATAGAAAAGGAAGCTTCATCGACAGCAGGGGGGATTGGTGCTGTACAGCAATAAAACAAGAGTAAACTCTTCTCTACGGAGACATGGGGAGGAATCGCAGGCAATGTTGGGTGAAAGATGCCAGGCACAGCCCGTGCCTACCATGTGATGCCATTGATTTCAAAGTCAAAACCACTCCAGGCTGATGTGAGGCTGAGGGGACACTTGGGCCGCATAATCTAGTTCTTTGCATTTACTGACACAGATGTGTGCGCTGTGTGGAACTCAGTGGGCAGCACTGAACTGTTTGTTTCGGTTACAAATCTTTTAAAAAGGCGCCTGTATTAAAATGACAGCCTGCATAGGTTTGTCTGACAGCTAGTAGAATGTTTGTCCCCAGAAATCGCTGCACCTGCTCTGTAAAGCAGAGCGTTGTTTCAAAATCCAAGAACGTCGTCCCAGCAGTGCCATGCTACCGTTTGGCTGTATGGTTCCTGCCTGCTGCAGAGCCCCCTTGGGAAGGGCCTCATGCAGGAAAAGCAAGGTGCCCGACTCTCCCCTGGGCCAGAGCCCTGGCCAGTGGCAGACACTGTATGTTCTCCATCTTCTAGGTAATTTTTCTTCTTTCCGTGTGTGTGTGTGTGTGTGTGTGTGTGTGGTATGCATGGGTGTGTGCACATGTGTTTGAGACCCCCCCAACATGCTGCAGTCAGTGGTTCTGAGATGGAGAGGGGGAAATGTCTGCCAAAATCCAGGGACTGACGACATTGCCAACATGTGCAATTTAGAAATCACTACAAACTGGCCGGGAGTAGTGGCACACACCTTTAATCCCAGCACTGGGGAGGCAGAGGCAGGCGGATCTTTCTGAGTTCGAGGCCAGCCTGGTCTACATAGTGAGTTCCAGGACAGCTGGGGCTACAGGGAGACCGTCTCAAAAAAAAAAACAAAAAAAAAACAGACAGACAGACAGACAGACACACACACAAAAAGAAATCACTACAAACTAACTTTCTAGTAAATGGGAACTACAATATGCTCTCCTGGGCTCTGCAAACAGAAACATAGAAGGCTTATCCCAGCCACCTCTGGATCTGGTAACCATGGGCGCTGGCAGAGACACAGAACAGTCCTTTCCTCCTACTTCAGATGAGGCCAGAAGTTTGTCTCCAGTTTCCTGCCTCAAGGGATGGAGTGACAGCTGGGCTCTGCCATTGTTGGCAGCACACAATTATCTACCCTGGAGTCCAAATTCACCACAGAGACAAAGCAGCATAAAATCAGCAAGGGTTGGTTCCCAGTGGAAGCAGCTACCCATAGCTGTCACTATGGAGACAAACTGAATAACACTGGTGTAAAACTCTTATTTAGGGGCAAGTGTTTGCCTCTCTCTCTCTCTCTCTCTCTCTCTCTCTCTCTCTCTCTCTCTCTCTCTCTTTTTTTATTTCTCTTTTTTTTTTTTTTTTTTTCTTAGAGAGGAGAGTCTCTCTCTCTCTCTCTCTCTCTCTCTCTCTCTCTCTCTCTCTCTCAATGGTTAAGTGTACTTGCTACTCTTAGACAGGACCAGAGTTCAGTACCAACACTCACTCACATCAAGTGGCTCCCAATTTCCTGTAACTACAGCTCCAGGGGATCCAATGCCCTCTTCTGGCCTCCACAGGCACCCACACTCATGCGCATATACCCACATACAGACACACACATACACATAATTTTAAGCTTTTCAAATCCTAAAGAATTTGTGTTTCGTGTGTGTGTGTGTGTGTGTGTGTGTGTGTGTGTGTGTGTGTGTTCCAGGAAATTTCAGGAAAGAGGCAATCCCAGGCTAGGAGCTTATCAAAGAAAACCATTTACCTAGGACCTGGTCAGCTTGAGTCTTAACTTTGAAAGAAAACTGAGATTCTTAGAAGACAATATGGGAGCTTTTCAAAGATATTCAGAAAAATGTGCAAATCGGCAAAGATGCTAAGCAACTTGACTTTTAACTAGTTCTTGTGATCATCCTGTGAGGGCAGTTAAAATACTTTTGACAACTAGAACAGGACTCTGGAATGGCTGGCTCCTAAGAGGTACTAACCTATGTTGCTAAAGGAAAACAACGTGATTTTGTAATTTTTCAGCTTTCCCCACATAAACACTTCTCTGCTGCCAACTGTTTAAATTCTTCTGCTTCTACATTGGTCTGGCTGTTGTGGCCCGACTGCAGAGGGAGGGCGGCCTGGCCCTCTGGCTCCCACACTCACCTTTCAGAGCCTGATGATCACCAGAATTCCTAGTGGCCCGTGCCCAACACAAAAGATATCCCAGCATGCAACAGCCACACATCTTCATCTCTTGGGGACCGACAGCCTCTTCTGTCCTCCCCGGGCATTGCAATGACATGGGTGCACGCACATACATGCAGGCAACACAGGCATACACATAAAATCATCTTGGAAACAACGGAGCTGGAGCCCTCACAGGAAGTACTCACTGTTCAAGGGTCCTGGAACCTCATGGTCATGTATGTTTAAGAGTCCAAGGCAGGCAGGCAGTCCCCCTTGCCAAACCTGGAATGGACAGCCTACAAGGCTGACCTGGGGACTCACCGTGCAGCCAGGTTCCCAGGGTGCCTGCACCGCCAGCCCTTCCAGCTGTGGTGTCCAGCAGAGACAATGGCCATGATGCCACACACCAGAATCAACATGGCCAGCCTTGCTTCTCCAAGGGAACTGAGTCCACATCCTCCTGCCTCTTGTGAGAGCTGCTCTGCCTGTAAGTCCTGACTCCAGAGAGCCTGAGGAATGGTTGAAGATGAGAAAAGGGCTGGATCACATGGCTTAATTCTGTCCCATTTGACCAAATCTACCTTGAAGGGGTCACAGTGCAACAGACCGGTGACAGGACTGAGAATGCTCCCAAGCACTGTGGTGTCCATACATTTCTATGGGCTACTTCCTCCGCCCACCACGTGCAGACAGCAGGGTGCACTTCTCCGAGTGGTGGAGGATATGTCCCACAGGCTGTGGCACCATAGCTGCATTTGGCTCCTACTATCACTGGGATGTGAACTGGGCCAGTGTCCACCTTCCCCTTTGCTTTCTGGAAGGTCTAAGGATTTTCCCAGCTCAACAGGGAAACACCAGCAGCAGCCAAGTGGGCTGTAGGTCTGCCATAGGGTACTAACTTACCTCATTCATTCCAAACCTAGGGGGACCTTTCCATTCCCATCGTCCAGATGAGGGAAGTAAGGTCCAGCAAGGGTGACAGGGAAGGGACCAAGCCAGGAAGGACAGAGCCACATGATCCATCCCCACGGTGAGCCCAGCAGCTAAGCGGAAGCCCACACAGGGTCAAGTCCTTGCCCTCTCCCTGGCAACACACCATCCCCGTGTTACTTGTCCTGTCTCCATCTGGCTTCCACCCCTAGGATGAGTTACCAAGGATACTACCAAAGGGTAGTTCTAAAAGATTTGGGCACAGGCCTCCTCTAGCACCCTCTCCCCAGGTATTGAATACTGGTGCTGAGCTTTGTGATCTGACCAGCGCTGGGGCAGCAGCCGCTGAACATTGGACTCAGCCTCCTGCCTCCATCCCCTCCCTTCCCCTTCCCCACCTCTCCCGGCAGCCAGGCTCGTTTGGTGTTATGCTGACAGGATGTCTGAAAGGAGAGCAGTGCCTGGGCCGACTGTCCAAGTCACCTCCTCTGGTGTCACTTCTGGCTAAAAAGGATCAGCTCGTTGTCACAGCCATTTGGGATGGGGTCCTAATACTAAAAGTGCTGTCTAAGAGTACTTCTCAACCTGATCAAAGAAGGAATTTTGTCACTGTGGTACATTTTCAAGTTTTCCTCGGAATTTTTATAAAAGTATAATAATTTGTAGCCATAGATTTAGAATTTGAAAAGAATATATTTTTTCATAAAAGTTCTAACAAAAATATTTTTTTTTCCCTTAACTTAAAAATACAGCTTTAGAAAGCAAGATCGGGCTGTTATGATTCATGGCATTTTACAAACAGCAGGGAGGGAAGGTGTCGATGGAGTGGGCATGTGAGGTGGCCTCACTTCAAAAGCTTCACTTTGTCCTTGAGCACCTTAAAGGTGGGGTTCCTGCTGATTTTCTTGTGGAAGATGGCCAGGAGCTCCTCCTCAGACTTGTGATGGTCACTTGTCACCGCGTGATACTGACTGAGAACCTTTGCAAAGAGAAACAGAGGCTGAGGGCAAGTCATGGTGGGATCTGCCCTATACCATTTACCTTTACAAGTTCTTTCGTAGAGATGAGGTGAAATGCAACCAAGGCCCAGTTGTGGGCTGATGCTACAAGGTGAAAGATACCCCGGGGCTGCTCACACAGGTGTGCACTGCCTGTGAAGAACCAGCGGCTGGGCTGGCCACATGGGAGCTCTGCAGGTCAGAGCTGTATCAGAAATAAAAAGGGCCAGCGAGATAGCTCGGTGCAAGCCTGAGGACTGCAGTTTGATCCCAGGACCCACACGGTGGGACAAGAGCAAAGCATCTAGAATTTTCATTCCCGAGATAATAAAAGGTGGACAGTGCAGTGTTTAGGTCTAGAATCTAAAGTCACCCCTGTTGAGGCTGCAGGATGATGCGTTCCAATCCACACCCTAACGGAGGAGCACTGGAGGAACTCTGAAAGGCTCCCCACCCCTTGTGTGTTTTAAGTTAAACAGCACAAGTATACATTTAAAAATCACCCCCAAGCCATTCCAGGCCTCATTTTTGACACAAAGTACCTTTCTCTTTAGCCTTTTGATTGGTATCTCGTTGTCTGGAGCCTGCTTCAGAACTGCTTTGATCGTTCCCTTCCAGTTGAACTTCCCTGCGATGTAAAACGCAATGCCTGAGATGCCTGGTTTTGTCTTCTGTTGCCACCCAAAGGCAAAGGAGCAACTTTGGCACAGCCATTCCCAGGAAAGGAGCCAACCTCAACAAGCCATGGAAGCGCCATGCTGACAGTCCTTCACCCGCCCACCCACAGGGCCCCATGCACCCACTGCCCTCCAGAGCACTTGTGCTCAGTGAGGAGACAGCCCTACCAGCACCCACTACAGGCAGAGGTACAGAGGGGCTAGAACTCTGCCCTCCACAGGCCGTGGCAGAGATGATGTCAGAGACAGACAAGGAGAATCTGGACTGTTGTCCATGCTGGTGGATACCAAGAGGCCACATGGCAGGGGAGGGTGAGGCAGAACGAGCCTTGGAAAGTCACAGTAGGTTCACTGCCAAGATCATGGCCAATCTATTATTATGGCTTGGTTCTGGAGGGTTCCCTAAAGGTTGAGCCTGGTGTGGCTGAAAGCAGAGGAACCTTTAAGAGGTAAGGCACTAGTATGTCCTCGGGTCATAGGAGTGTGACCTCAGAGGGGTTAGTGGGACCCAGTGTCTTCTTTTCCCTTTCTTGGTTATGTGAGCAGCCAGGCTCCACACACACTCCCTACCATGGTGTTCTGACACCACAGGCCCCAAAGCAACAGGGCCTAGTGACTGTGCGCTAGTCTCTGAAACCACTGCTTTGTTTTGTTTTGGGTCTTTTTGAGACAGGTGTCCCTGTAGCCCCAGCTGTCCAGGAGCTCACTATGTAGACCAGGCTGGCCTTGAACTCACAAAGGTCCGCCTGCCTCTGCCTCCCGAGTGCTGGAATTAAAGGTGTGTGCCACCACACCCGGTAGTGCTTTAATACAAAGACAGCGCTACCTTTTGCAGGAGCCTCGTGGTCTCTGGGCTCTCCTTCCTCAGGATGTCCAGGCAGCACCACCTTTTTCTTCTTGCAATCTGACTCAACTGTTGGGAAAGATTCCAGATTAGAAGAGCAAGGAAGTCTGTCACTTTGTGACAGTCGAGGTAGGCGCTGCCCTCACAAAGGCCTGACCTGGCTGAGCACCCAGAGGATCACTTTCTTCTCCAGATCCTCACCCCTCGGGATCCATCATCACACATACGGATGATGAGCAACAGAGGGTTGAGAGGCAAGGTCCTCTGGACCTCCAAAGCTTCAGTTTTTCCCATTTGGTCCAAAATGTGAAGAGATCTCTCTACGTAAGCACATGGCCTGCCCAGTCTTGGAACCCAGCCCACAAGGGGCCACACACCTTCTGAGTGCTTCCGCTTTCTCTTTCCCGTAGCTGTCTTTGCCTGGGCCTCGTCAGCACTGTGCCTGGGGCCCCCGCTTCTGTCTGCTCCCTCTTCTGGGGCCTGCTGGTCCTGGACCCTCTTCTTCTTGCCCTTCTTCCCTGCTGAGCCATTGGCCTTGGGGGCTTCTTCCCCGTCAGCCACCAGCTGGGCCTCCAGCCCCTTTCTGTGCTTGCTCGGCTTCTGGCCCTCCAACTTCAGCTCCTTCTTCTCCCTCCTGCTCCTCTGCCGCCCCTCCTTCCTTTCTCTTTTATTCTTCGCCTCTGTGTGCTCTTCTGTGGTGCCGTTGGTTTTTGAGGACGGAACCTTAGCAGGGATTTCTGCATGGGGCTTGGCCACCTGGCTTGGTGGCTGCTGATCTTGTTCCTTACTGGCTGGCTCCTTATCAAGCAAAAGAAGAAATATTTGGTCTAGCCATGGCCTATTTCACGTAGTTCATGACTGTGATACCCCACAGAGAAAATCCATCAAAAACACATACAAAATGAGCAAAATGAGGAGAAAACCACACCCCCTAGCCCTCAGCCCTGTTCATGGAACAGATGACTCTCATGACACTGGATGACAAGGGATAAAGCCATGTGATTCTGGCTCATCATTCACCTTTCATCTAGATGAAAAAAGAGTCGCCAGGTCTGGGGGAAATCAAGGTGTGTGACTGCACATCCAGTCAAGGTCCAGTTCTGCCTTGAGCTACCCAGGTCACTCTGAAACCATTTCTTCAAAACTGTGGCGTAGAGCCAATGTAGACACCAGGAGTGTTCTGTGCTTTGAACATCAGATACTGAGCATGTGGTTTAGAAATGATGGCATTCTAGACTAAGGCACCGTCACCTTTTCCAGAGGGGATGGCCACCCCAGAAGGCAGTCAGGGACAACCACCAGTATGGAGAATGGTACTGCTGGGGTTGGAGCAATGGTCACAGGGATGCTGATGCAGCCTGGCTCCCCATGTGGTGTCTTGCAAGGGGCAGAACCTTCAAAATCAGGAGGTTAGGTCACTGGGGGTGTGGCCCTCAGTGAGTTATAACTCAGTCCCCAGTCCTGGAGACCTTGGTGTGGCCAAGTGCCCAGCTGAGCCTGATTGCTTCCTGCCTCATTTCCAAAACTAGCCCCATCATGTCTACTGTGCTTACCAGAGGCTGAATGGACTGTCTGATCTTAGACTTCCAGCATCCAAATTTGAGCCAACTAAGCTTTTCTTTATGAAATGGCCAGACTCAGAGACTGTTATAGCCACAGTAAACAGACTAAGACAAAACCAAATCAAACCAGGGAATGACATGCACTGGTTTAAGAGACTTCCTGCCGACTGTGCTCGCTATGAGAAGGCCACAGCCCCACTCCCACCACCACTCCTGCTGTTCTCTCCACTGTAGCAACTTCTTACAGGGTGGGTGGGAACCAATGCACCAAACTAGATGGTGAGCCCCGAGCCTCTGCTGTCGAAACTGAAGGTCTGGTGTCCTGGGCTGTGGCACCTGCAAGACTGGCTACAAGTCCCGCTCCATTTGCCACAGGAAAGATGACGACAAGTTACCTAGTCTTCTCTGCAATGCCTTCACTTGTGCAAGAGCTCAGCCCTCGGCTCTCAGTGTCTGGAGGGCAGCGAGGGGAAGGAGCGCAACTAAACTCTAGTTCCGAGATACCGGGGTGAGGGAGCTTTTGGGGAAAAGACACCTGGTGTAAATCCACAAAGAGCCAGGAGACAAGGACTTCAGCTCTACCTTGCTCATGTGTCCTCTGGCCTTATTAGAATGTGTCAGTCAGCTCCCACTGCTGTAAGGAATGCTCAAGGCTGCTAGCTTAGAGAAGGCTCGTCTTGGATGACGAGTCTAGAGGTCCCAAGACTGAAACACTCTGGGCCTCAGGCAAGGTGGCACATGACAGGAGTGTGTGGCAAAGCAAACTGGTCATCTCAAGAACAAGGAAGCAAGGAGAACAACAGAAGGGGCTGGGGCCCGGGTCCCCCCTTAAAGGCATGACCCCAAAGGCCCAATGTCCTCCCACTAGTCCCTGTTTCCTAAAGGTCCCACCAGCTTCCAGTTGTGCCAGAGGCCAGCAATGAGCCTCCAACACATGGGCCCTTGGGCCATTCAACATCCAAACTGGAGCACACATCCCTGTGCTGGAGCCTCCAGCCTTCTTTCTACTCGGCTTGAACCAAGTCTCCAGCTGTGGTCTTGCGCCGACACCAAACAGCTGAGGGATGCAGGACTCAAGGATGCTGATGTAAGGCGCACGACAGCTCCGTAGCTTGTCTTCCATGCTTTGTTCCCACCCAGCCCCTCCTGAGTGATGCTTCCCCGATGCTTTCCTAGCAGAGCACCTCTGTCCCCCTCTGCCCACAGCACGTAACATGTGAACCCTAACAGCTGCCACAGAGGACCCAGAACCAGGTCTGTCAGGCAGCAAAGTCCCAGTCACTCCTCTCACTCCTCCACACCAATCACTCCATGTGTCAGTCCCAAAGGCCACACTGGAACGGCATGCCCCCTTCTGTCACCAGGAGCTCCCCTGAACTACACTCAGCTCAGAGTGCCAATCATGAAGGTGCAGAGAGGCTCTCTGAAACAGCCATCCTGACCAATACAGGCATATGGCATCCCATTTTGTTACCGACGATCATCAGTCACATGGCAAACCCAGAGTGGCGCTGACTCACACTGCTGGAAGCTTCTGAGAAGATGCTCCACACCTGCTCCAGGACAGACTCATTCTGCACTTTCAAGCTGTTCTTCATCCAGTTCTGCAAGGACGCAAAACAGAAAGACCCACCTTCCCATTCTGACAGGTGCACAGGTTGGTCACTGATAGGCTATACCCTGACTCAGAAAAGCCAACCAAATCCATACCTGAAACTTCGCCTTTTTCCTGGGAATGTTGTCAAAACCACTTATTTGCTGTAAAAGTTCTCTCACCTTGGGGCTGACGTTAGGTTTCTTTATTAATTCATTAATTTTCTATAAAAAAAAAAAAGGACAATAAACAACATGACATGAATTTCAGATTATCCATTTGCATCTATGCACGACAGGATATTGACAACAAAGAGTCAGCACAGCACAGGAACAGTACAGGCAGGGAAGAAAAGGAAGCCCAAACTTTCCTGATCAGAAGGACAAACTCAGGTCTAATCGCCTGCACACAGAGCCTACTGGAAGAAGTATGGCCTCCACATGGAGAACAACAGACTTCTAAAGACAGAACAGTTAACCCAGCAAAGCTGCAGGAGGCAGAACCAACTCCTAAGAACAGGCTGCGTTTCTACACAAGAACGAAGAAGCGCGAAACTAGAGAATAATTCCATTTGTAACTTAGATAATTACAAAGAACCAGAACCAGAGGTAAAAGAATTAAACAGAAAGACATTTTGTGCTCATGAATTGACAATTAATATTAAACCATCAACCTGAAAGCCCTGGCAAAACCTAGTTATGTGATGCATGGTCAAGGGGAACCAACCCTAAAATTCACATGGACTCTCGAGGGACTCCAAATAGCCAACATAATCTGAAAAAAAATAGTTTATTTTTAATTTCAAAACTCACTATAAAGCTTCATGTGGTACTGCTACAGCCATACGGGGCAATGGAAATAACAGAAAACGCACAAGTGAGTCCTTGCAAATACAGTCGAATGTTTTTTTGGTAAGGAGGTCAGGACCAGTCAATGGAAGAATGGACTGTCTTCTCAGCAAACAGTGCTGGGAACAGTGGATATTCACATGGAAACGAAATTCGATTCTTATACTGTATACAAAAAATTATCTCAAAATAGATCAAAGACCTAAACTTGAGAGATAAAACTATAACATCTTAGAAGAAACTGTTAAGACACCCAATTGGCAGTGATTTCTTTCTTACATGTGACACCAAATAACAGACAACAGTATTAGGGGCTGGCAAGATGGCTCAGGGGTTAAAGGTTCTTACGTGGAGGTCAGACGGCAACCTGTGGGAGTTGGTTCTCTCTTTAAAACCCGTAGGCCCTATGGACTGAACTTAGATCATCAGGCTTGGCAGTAAGCACCTTTAAACCACTCAGCCATCCTGCCGATCTCATAAGCAAAGGTTTCTGTGGCTTCTCAACCTGTACCAGGTAGACACTGCAAGTCCTTCCTGAAGGGAAGACCAGCCAAGCCAGGAGCATGCAGAACTACTCATCTGAAAATTCAGTTTCTACACAGGAGTAACATCTGCCCACCTATCTCTACCTTCTTTCCCTCCTGCAGGTGGTCAGTGGTGTGCTAGAAACTGGACTTTTCACTCAAACCAGGATCTGACTGCTTCTGCACAGTTTCATTTTAAATAGCAATTCTTTGTCTTTGTCAAAGTGTCTACTGTGCTCAGTTCTGGTAACAGACGTGACAGACTGACATGGTTGGAGCTGTAAGAGCCAAATTAGCAGTAGGAGAGAAAGATCCTTAGATGGATTGATTTGGTTTTAGAGCCAAAAGAAAGCGAGCAGGAATTCTAATATTTTTGGGAGAAGCCTGTAAAACGTATAGGTCAAGGGTAAAAAGCACCTCAATCGTACTAACAACTCTCTTCATGAAGATCTGACACTCCTCTTCCAGTCCATGGTATCTCTGGGGCTCATCTGCATAGATGGCACATTTATTACTGTGCCTTCAAAGGAAGCAGGTATGGAAGAGCGACAGGACATGTGGCAGTGTTACCTGAATCCACGCCTGCTGCTTCACATCACCCTTGTGGGTCTTGCCCCCGTAGCCCTTGCCCCCGTACTTCTGGTCTTCGCTGATGCACTTCACATGGTGTCTGTAGTCATCGCCCCTGCAGAGGGACCCGTCACATCACAGGCTGACACCCATGCTGGAGGCGCTCACCAACGACAGCACATCACTCGTGCCCATGTATTCTACACCTGGCACTGCACCACGTGTCATTCTTACCCATTTACACGTGCCTTTCTTCCAAGCAACACCCCCGCCCCCCGCCTTTCTCTGCTCACTCCAGGGCAGGTAGTTGAATCATTACATTTTGGTGGTGTTGGAATTGAACCTAGAGCCCCATAGACACTAGGCAAGAATTCTGACACTGGACATATTATTCTCAGCCCCAAAGAACTGCTTTAAATTTATTATTTGTGTGTGTGTGTGTTTGCGCGCGTGCACATGTGCACATCTGACTGCATGTGTGAGTGCATGTGGAGGCTGGAGGACAACCTCTTGGAGTCAGTTCTCCCCCCTTGGGTGCTGGGGGTCAAACTCAGGTGTCATGCCACGTGGCAGGCACCGAGCTAACCTGCTGGCCCCAATTCTTTAACGACCTCATCGCCTCCCTCTAGGCTTCTCTTTAGGACACCCTTAAAAGTCACATGGCTTCATAAAGCGCATTACAAAGAACACACCGATTTTTTTAACCAACCCGCAAGGTTTACTTCCTAGCTTCTTTTCCCACATCTTCCCATTTTCCCATGCTTTGTGGGATCAGGACTCCTAAGACCGTGGATCCACATGAATTACCCAGAACTTACCAGAAGTCTTTCCCACAGTCGATGCATGAAAGACATTCACAGCTTCTGCAGACAGACACATGCTTCTCCACCTGTATTTTCTTCACTGATTCACCACATGCATTGCATGTAAAAAATACCATTTTTAGCGAAATGATGAAATATACTCTATCCAAGACAGGCTGAAACTCTGGTCCTAAAAAAAATTAAAGATAATTATCACAGTAAGCTCAAAGTCCTCCCAACAGATCAATCCCACACAAAAACTGTTGATGCGTCATCCCCACAGAACTCCACTGCCCAGGGACATCAACTCCCGCTGAGGCAAAGGCCAGTGCTAGCGGAGGTGCTCAGCACTATTCTCGGGGGCTTACAGTATTCATGTGCTTGGCTCTCACCAGCCTATGAGAGGGAAGGATGGCTCACAATTTAGATACAGAAACTGAGGAAGTTGACCCAGGCCCGAGTAACAGAACCAGGACTTGAGCCTGGTGGAGACACGGTACAGATAAAGCTGTGTGATACGTTTTTCTCCAATGCTCTCAAGCTATATACCCCATAAAAGATACACAATCAAACTGTAACTGGATTGTAGGTATGCGCCACAGGTGATCACTGCAAATACAACATGGACAAGTGAGGGGATGATAGGGACAAATTTTGAGACTAAAACTGATTCCTCAGTGCACTGTGATGGAGCCACTGGGTCACAATGAGGAAGCCCCGTCAGCAGACAGGGAGCAAATGAACGGCTTTCACGGGAAGAAGTGGAGTCATCTGGGTCCAGGACTGCTAGTGCTGATCACAGGAGCTTCCAAACCCAGGTCTGCCAGCCACCCCATGACCCACCTCGCAGGACGTATCTGCATGTACTCGGATGCCCAACGCTGCATGGATGCTCCAGACCCTACCCTGCAAAGCTATAGGAGCCACAGTGACGTTTTAATCACCAGCCATGCTTGGCTTAGTGAGTCTTCATGCACGAATCACCACTGCCTCCACCACGTCACACTGAGGCAGTCATGCCTGAGCAAGGGAAGGGCTGTGCTTTTCCTTTCTGCCTGGAATGGAAATGTCCATCCTGTCCGCAGGTCCCGGGTGTTCCAGGTGAGGCAGGCTCCTGCTCTGTGAGGCACTGCTGCACTCAGGTCCTCTCATATGCTGGGTACAAACCACAGGCCCTGGCTACAGTGGCCTGGGTCTTCCTCCTGAGCTGGCGAGCAGGGCTGGTTAGCAGAAGGTATGCGGGCAGCTACAGCTGCGCATTGAGCCAGAGGAAAGCATGTCTGACCAGGCTTCGTCAGGCTGCATAAGTGCAGTTGTCTTGTCTTGTTTTTATAGACACGTGACAATCGAGCCCAGGAGCTGGTCAGGTCTCTGCAGCCCCCTTCTGTGATATTTACATTTTCACAGATGGAGTTGAGGAAACGTCAACAAGAGCAGCTCTGATGCCCCCAAAGGAAGGAAAAGGCTGGAACAAGAGTCCACCTCACTTGCCAGCTAGTCTTGGGGTGCCGGTTTATACAACAACAAGAGCAAAGTCAGCTGACTCCCGAGAAGTAGATGCACAGTGGACAAGGGAGCAGCTGCAGCAATGGGCTAAACTATCTGCTGGGAAGTCAGAAAGCATCTTCACGGTGAGGGCAACAGAGAAAACGCTCTTTCACTTACAGCCTGCACCCTCTGCAGCCGAGGACTGCCGTTTTCTGACCAAGGACAGAGGGAGGGACAGGCTTCAGCAAACCTTGAGATCCACAGGACAGTGTCTCAAAAGATCAGGAATTAAGAGGCCTGAGGAGGATACCTAGACACAAAATATAAGACCTGAAGAAAGCCAGTGGTGCTAACAAGAGAGATGCTCAGAGATGCCTGTGGATCGGCCACAGTACAAGTACCAATTCAGAGAGGGTTAGAAGGGGCCACGTGTCCATCAAAAACAGCTGGAGCGATCACCTTCCTTTGGTCTCCTATGTACTCATTTGAGGACAGGCTCTTGTTGCCGTTCTCGCACTTTTCACAACTGACATGAATGGCAGCTGTGGCCACTTGCTTGGCTAATGAGATAAGACTCGTAATGAGCTTATTTAGAGCCCAGGGGACAGCCCAGCCCCAGCCCGAGTCACCTTGACTATGCCTCACACTCAACCTAGTCCCTAGGGAAAGCACTGTTCACTTATGAGGTGAAAACTTCTTCGTGGGCTACAAAGAACATCAAGGCTCAGAACCATCAAAGGCAGCTCAAGTGCGGAGCAAGGAGGGGTCCACGTCTTAAGAGATGTGAAGGCTGCAGGCTGCAAACGGGAACCCTGGGCTAAGTGCAGACAATATGAAGGGCATGCCCGTGCACAGCTGAAGTCCTGTCCTTGGGGGTGGGGGTGCTGAGGCAGGAGGATTTCAGGTCGGAAGCCCGCCTGGGCAACGTGGTGAGACCCTGTTTCAAAAAGGCAAACAAAACTCCAAATGATGCTTTCTGTGCTGCGCTCAGCTTTTGTGCTCTTGATGTGATGAGCTTAAAGCTGCATTAAGACCCTCGGCCCACAATGCACACTAGGCTTAGATGTGATCCATTCCGACCTAGCCCTAAGCATAAGATGGTGTTGGTTTTTTTCTGTTTGTTTTTTGTTTTTTTGAGACAGGGTCCTGGAACTCCAGCTGTCCTGGAACTCACTGTGTAGACCAGGCTGGCCTCAAACTCACAAAGATCCACCTGCCTCTGCCTCCCAAGTGCTGGGATTAAAGGCGGGCGCCACCACGCCCGGCTCTAAGATGCTGTTTTTAACAAGGCCGGACTGGACTACACAGAGTCCCTGTCCTGTCCCTTCCTTTCCTTATTTTCCCTGTGCCCAAGGCAGAGTGGGTCCTAATAAAGTCAAAGGAATTCTGCATGTGCTTTAGACATATGTGCATGTTAAAAAGAAAAGGACTGGCAAAAGGGCTCTTGCTGCCAAGCCTGACAAACTGGGTTCACTTGTCCAACAATGAGCGCATGCCAGAGCCACGCTGTGTAGACACATCTGGGCCCCTTCTCCCGCAGGCCAGTCCTAGATGTGTGCCTCTGCCAGCCTTCACCTGCCTGCTCAGCTCACCAATCAGCTGAGGTCAGCATATGCCACAACCCAGAAAGGAAGATGACGCCGAAGCACAGGACCTTAGTTCTACCACATACCCTTGTCCGTGAGAAAGGCAATGCCCAGGAGGCTACAGGATCTGCTCCACCCCCGGCCCCCGCCCCCCGAGTCTTCTCTTAGGAAGATGGCAGTCATGTTTTGCTGGGCTGGGCTTGGATGCAGGGGTAAAGGGCCTGAGCTACAGCCTGCATCTACCAATGCTTTAAAAAAGTCATTAAAAACCTCAAGATGCCTTAACTTCTGTGAATCTGTTATCTGAAAAACAGGTCTAACATCTTATCAGAAAGCACTGTGTGGAAGACTCATTCTTCTTCCCTAACTGTAGAATGGTCTCTCTGGCCTGGCAACACCTACACCCGTGGTACTCTATCAGTCCCCAGCGATTCTGGCTTCCTTAAATATAACTCTCACACCAGGTTCTCTTCAAAAATTCCTTCTCATTGCTCTCAGTATTTATTCTCTTCTTATAAAGAATACTCTTTTTTTTGTCTTTTATTTTTTGTCTTTTTTGAGACAGGGTCTCCCTGTAGCCCCAGCTGTCCTGGAACTCTCTATGTAGACCAGGCTGGCCTTGAACTCACAGGGATCCGCCTGCCTCTGCCTCCCCACTGCTGGGACTAAAGGCGTGCACCATGACACCCAGCTAGCATACTCTATTTTTTTTTTAAGCATTTTATTATTTTTTATGTGCATGAGTGTACTGCCTGCATGGTATATAAGTGCACCAATGTGGTGCAATGCCTGCAGAGGTCAGAAGAGTGCACTGGAGCGGGGCGTGGTGACGCATGCCTTTAATCCCAGCACTCAGGAGGCAGAGGCAGGTGGATCTCTGTGAGTTTGAGGTCAGCCTGGTCTACATAGTGAGTTCTAGGCGAACTAGGACTAACAAGGAGACCCAGTCTCAAAAAAAAGGGGGGGCATTGGACCCCCTGGAACTGGAGCTACAGACAGTTATTAGCTACCACATGGGTGCTGGGAACTGAACCTGTGTCCTCTGCAAGAGCAGTCAGTACTCTGAACCTCTGAGCCATGTCTCTAGCCCCAAGAACACTCTATTCTCGTATATGGACATGCACGCAAGCATGTGGAGGTCAACCTTGGGTATTGTTCCTTGGGAGCCATCCACCTTGTTTCAAGACAGGCTCTCTCACTGGGACCTGAAGGGCTCTGGTCCCGCTGGCTGGCCAGGGAGCCCCGAGATCCGTCACCACACCTTGCTTCTTACCTGGGTTCTGGGGATGGAATTCAGCTCCTTATGCTTGTGTGACAAGCACTTTACAGACTGAACTATGCTTAACATACTTCTACTCATGTATACTCACTAAGTCCATCCTAAAAACAGCCCACCTTAAAGGTCAGGCTGGTAACTCAAACCCAAGTCCCACTGAGCAAGCACGGCCTGCCCCTTTATACTTCAAGTCCTCTCATCTGTGAATCAAGTGGTCAGCCCACCAGACTGGATGCAGGCCCTTCCAGGACTCCCAGAAATCATGGGTACAGTGCAGAAAGGAAGCACACATCTTGCCTCCAGCACCATGCCCAAACCTTTACCCATGGGTGCATGTCCACACACAGAGTACCTTTTGCTTGCAGAAGCCCATGAACACCTTTCCCCACCTATGTTCAAATAAGTTAAGCCATGCCCTCCTCTCAGCCCCGGTCTCCGCACCACACTACCTGTGCTGTTTTACACAGCACAGCCTCACTTGACCAACCGTCATCTATCGGGCACTTTGCTAGACACTGGGGGGCTGACAGTGTGAGCAAGTCCGTGCTGTGACCCTTCTCTGTCCAAGTGAGGCTTGGAAGCACACAGTCCTCGACTGCCTTACCTCCTTCTCAGAGGCAAGTGCTGCAGAGAGCCCTGACGTTTGCTGAGCAACTACTTCGCGCCAAGCCCTCGCGTGGGTGGTTAACAAGTTTCTAGCCCTGCAGTCTTCACCAGTCCCCCCAATCGGTCCTCCCAACCAGTCCTCTATGATTCCTTTTTGCCAGACGTGGAGCCAGGCGCAAAGAGATTAAGTGGCCTGCATGCCATGCGGTGCAGACGGAATCGCACGCTGTTATGGGATGCTTGGTCCTCGGTGCTCCATGAGCCCTAAGGCCCCTCCTTAGGGACTGAGTTCTCGAGACTCCGAGAGGGGCGTCGTCCCCACAGGCTGTCAGCCTGAGGCCCAGTGAGGTGGGGAGCAGATCCCAGAATGTGCCGGCCTTTCTGACTTCAAGTCCGGACGCAATGGTCCCCCTGAGCCCGGGACTCGCCGCCTCCCCGGCGCGCGGATCGGACCGAGGGGCCCATGTGCCGGCAAGCAGGGCCGCCGTCGCCCCCTCCCTTCGGCCCTGGCTCCGAGCCGCCGTCCTCACCTCTCAGCCGACGCCGTCAACGGTTCCAACGGGCCGCGGGCAGCACGTGGAGCCCCGTTCGCCCAGTGCAGCCGCCACGGCCGGCCTCTCCAGGCTCCGCGCGCAAAACTCACACCGAGCCGCCCTGGCGCAACGGAGGTCACGCCCCCCGGAAGTGACGGACCGGAAGTCGCTGACTGCCTTCGGCTCGGGGGTGAGGGGGTGGGGCGGGGGATCGTCAGAATGGTTCCGCAGCAGCTAGAAGCCGGGCGTTGGCGCTGAGGCCCCGGCAGGGACGAGTGAGGAGGAACGGCCGGGCAGGAGCGGCCTCCGGGGGTAAGACGGCCTCGGGGGCGGGGCGGACGGGCCTGGGGCGCGGCGGGGCAGGGACCCCAGGGGACGGCGAGTCCCGGGCACCGGGCGTCTAGACGCCGAGCCGGACGGGGCGTGGAGGCCGGGCCTCCATTCTGCTGCAGCCCCGGGCCTCCCGGCCACCACGCCCACCATCATCACCCCGGGCTACAGCCCAACCCTTCGCGGTCTCTGCATCTCCGTGGTCTTGGTGGCCTTCAGATCGCAGCGCTCAGCCCGTCTCGGCCTCACTGACGGTATGAGCATCCTGTACAGCATCCTGTGCCTCCATTTGCTTGAGCAGAATGGTATTACAGCAGTGCCCACTCCTCGGGACCTTGTAGGACCTCGTGAGTAGGTGCATGTAAGGGGCTTGCTCAGTATCTGCCATTAGTAAGTGTTCAATAAACGTTCTCAGCCCTTAAGACAGCATCTGGTTTGCGATAGTGGTCACTGTTGCTTAAACAAGTGAATGACGGTTGAACAGGCAATGAACAGAGTATTGCGAGAAACTTCGACCCTGGCATTTCCTTTTGTAAGTGATGGGAACAGTGTCTGGCCTAGAATAGCAAGTGTGTGTGTGTGTGTGTGTGTGAGTGAGTGAGAGGGGGGAGGGGGGGAGGAAGAGAGGGAGAGGGAGGAGAAGAGAGTGTGTGTGTGTTTGCTGTGGCTGCCACAGCAGGATACAAATGGAGTAGTTTAGACAACCGATTTGTTTTCTCAGTTCTGGAAGCTGGAAGTTCAAGATCAAGCTGTCTTCAGGTTTGCTTGCTTCTGAGGAGTGTTGGCTTGTGGGTGCCCATCATCATACCCTCACATGCCCTTTGCTCTGCTCCTACGGTGACTGGCATTTCTGCCTGTATCCAGATCTTCTTATATAAGTCAGTCAGATTGGACTAGGGCCCTCGTCTTAACCTAATTATCACACTGATCAAATCAGCAATCAAATGCTGAGGTTCTAGAGAACAGAATGGAATAGGTGAAGGCCCACTGTGGTGGCAGGCTCTTGTGAATCCCAGGCAGAGACAAGAGGATTCCTGGGGCTAACAACCATCTGTAACTCCAGTTCCAGGGGAGCCTTAGCCCTCTTCTGTCTTTTGTGGTCATTGTACAACACGAGTGAACTTACATACAAGCAGGCAAAGTACTCATACACATAACAAATAGAACAAAATTTTACAAAAAACAAAATAAGGAAGGGGTTTTTTGACTCATAGCTTAAGAGGTTTCTGGCCAAGGTCAGCTGGATCCGTTGCTTTGGGCCTAAGGAGACACAGACTGTTGTAGTGTCAGGCACGCACAGCATAGGATGCCTGCTTGAGACAGCCAGAAAGCAGAGAAGACAGTGGGGAAGAGGAGGAGGAAGGACACAATCTGCTGAAAGCATAGGTTTGTGTGTCCAGCCGGCCTTACCTGATGGTCCATTCAGCCATGCACTCGTCAGTAGATTAACCCACAGATCAAGTCCACACCCTCAGGACCCAACCACCTGTCACGACCCATGTCTGAACTGTGCTGCATGGAGGGCTGAGCCTTAACTGTATAGTCTTTGGGAGACATCTCATATCCAAACTACACCAGGAGTAACAAGACACAAAAGTGTAGTTTGCCTGGTAGAGTGTGGTTTTGTCAGTAGTGTTTACACACTGACTAGGAAGTGTAAGAAAACCATGATTTTTAGTGTACCATGCTGCCACTGAAACCCCCGTAGCCCTCCTGGTCTGTTTCTGTTTCCCACCACTCTCTTCTGCAGGTCTTCCCTTTCCTGCCTGCCTTCCTGGACACTAGAGGCCACTCCTTACTTCGCTGTGTGCTCCGTGGCTACCACATGGATATAGCTGTGTGCTCTGCACTTTGTGTTGTCCCCACTAGAATTTATGGTTCCGGGGAATGGAACCCTGTGTGTTACATTCACTGTTGCTGCCCTGGAGTTTAGCATAGACATCTCTTGCTAAGTAGATGTGCAATAGCCAGGCTTCCTGTCTCCTTCAGAGTCAGAGTCAAGGGTGTCCTAGGCCTGTGAGGCTCAGTGTGGTCCACCCTTGCCTCTCTGGTATGCCATTTCCTTACTCATCTGTGCTCTGAAGTCCAGCAAGCTCCTGCCCTGGGCCCCCATGCCTGCTGGTCACAGACACGCACACACACACACACCCGAACCTGCACACTCATACCCTGGCTTCGTCCGGGTCTGCCAGGGTAGCCTTTTCTCAGAGGTAGAGGCACCCCTGAACAGCATGCTGCTGTGACTGTTCTTGGCTCATTGTCTGGTGTCGCTGGTTATTTCAGCTTGTACCGTGTCTCCCCACGGGACTCCCAGTTTTCTCTGGCTTTGAATTCACTGACTATGTATAGCTGTGTGTTAGTGACTTGGTGCTGTGATGAAACACCTGAGAAAATCAGCTCGAGGGAGGAAGGGCTTATCAGGTCTCACAGTTTGAGGATGCAGTCCATCATGGTGGGGCAGGCCTGGCAGCAGAGCATGAGCATCTGCAGTCAGGGAGCTGAGGGAGGAGTGCCGGGGCCAGAGACTATCTCCTGTTTATGCATAGCAGGACCCCAGTCCACAGGACGGTGCTGCATCCAGGGTGGGTATTCCTCGTTCAGCTAAACCTTTCTGGAAGCTGCCTCACAGACAGAGCCATGTGTTCTTGGTAATTCTAAATTCTACCAAGTTGACCGTCAAGATTAGGCACCACAAGGTGTTCACTAAATATGGGTTTGATCTTAACTCGTTGACTTTTTTAAGGTTTACACATGTTTATGTATATGTATTAGTTTAAAAAAATGTATTGATTTTTATTGTGTACGTGTGAATGTTTTGCCCACATGTATTTAAGTGTACCTGTGTTATGCAGTGTTTCTGGAGGTGAGAAGAGGGTGTTGGATCCCCTGGAACTGGAGTTATGATTGCCTGTTAGCTGCCATGTGGGTGCTGGGAACTGAACCCAGGTCCTCTGCAAGAGCAGCCAGTGCTCTTCACTGCTGAGCCTTCTCTGCAGCCCCCATGCATCAGTTTTTAATTTGGCTATTCCTAATTGGTCATAAAAGACATACATCTGGGGGGCTGGAGAGATGGCTTGGCGGTTAAGAACACTGACTGTTCTTGCAGAAGACCCAGGTTCAAATCCCAGCACCCACATAGCAGTTAACAACTGTCCATAACTCCAATCCCAGGGGATCTGACAGCCTCTTCTGTCCTCTGCGGGCATTGCACAACAGGTGCACTTACCTACATGCAGGCAATATACTCGTACACATAAAATAATAAATACAATAAATATAATACAATAAATATTTCTTTAAAAAAAAAAGAAATATATCTAGTACCATCACTGCCATAATCTAGAGGCCATTTGAGTGTTGTGAGGTGACATTTCAGGCGCTCAGGGTTTCACGTGGCTGTCTGCTCCAGTCTTGAAGCGGTGGGAGGAGGCGATTCCGTATTACAGATGATTACTTCCCCAGCTCTGGTCTCGGTGCTGCTGAAGCAGTTTAAAGAGTCCGTGTGTGTGTTAAGCTGTAACCCGGATGCACACCTTGACACCCCAGCATTCCTGCATGGGGCCCCTTTTGTCCCAGTGGTGTCCTTGAGAGTCTCTCACCCACATTCTCTGCAGGTCTCATGGTCTAGCATGGACCCTGTTGCTACCCACAGCTGCCACCTCCTCCAGCAGCTTCGTGAGCAGCGGATCCAAGGCCTGCTTTGTGACTGCATGCTGGTGGTGAGGGGAGTCTGCTTCAAAGCACACAAGAACGTGCTGGCAGCCTTCAGCCAGTATTTCAGGTAAGTGCCTCAGGAGCATGCTGACTGTGGGCCCGATTTCACCATCTTCGTGGATTTTGCTAGGGGAGTTGTAGGGAGTTATATTTGTTTCAACTTCTAGTTTACTTAGTGTTGTTTTGTGTTTAGAATAACATGAAAGGAGAGTCTTAGCTAAAGTGTATTTGGGGTAATTGAAAATAATTTCAGTCCCCTATCTGTATCTCTCTTCCTTTCAGGGTAATGAGTGAGGACTTGCATCTAATGGCAGGAGGTTGTTCTGCAATAAGAAATTAGACTGAGGGGTGCTGACTGACATTGTGCGTGTCTGTCGTCCCAGCACCTGGGAGGCCAAAGCAGGAAGATAGAGAGTCCAAGCCAGCCAGGGCTGCACAGGGATGATCTTGTCTGGACAGAGAAAGGGGGAAGGAGGAACAGAAGGACGGAGAGGAAGAGGAGGGAGGGGGAGAGAGAGAAATAAGACAGGAAAGCATTCTTTATGCGTTGCCTTTCCCTTCTGTCTCCCCCTTTACCTTCCTTCCTAGTTAAAGCATTTCAATTTGTGTTTCTCATTGTAAAAGAAAACGAAAAACCACAACAACCTTTGGTTTAAATTCATCTTAATTCTCCCTGTCACTATCCTGGCTCTGTGATTTAGTTACATACACTGATTACCAGTTGTGTTTGAATATAGTTGACCTTCACACAGTTGAGTACCCTTTAGAAGTGAGCTCCTTGGTTAACAGGTCTGTTGCTCTTTGAATGCCAGGCTCCTTTTGCATATTTCCCTCCTCTAGTAAGCAGTACGTAGAACGTGATGACTCCTGCCCTGGTAATCCCACATCCGTGGACTAAGCCTCGGTGTTTGTTTGGTTTTTTGTTTCTTGTTTTTTTTGAGACAGGGTCCCCCTGTAGCCGCAACTGACCTGGATTCGCTGTAGAGACGAGGCTGGCCTCGAACTCACAGAGATCCACCTGCCTCTACCTCCTAAGTGCTGGGACTAAAGGCATGCACCACCACACCCGGCATTTTTTTGTTTTTTTTAAAATAATGTATATCAGTGTTTTGCCTGCATGATTTAAGTGCACCCATGTTGTACAATGCCCAGAAGAAGGCATTGGGATCCCCTGGCGTTACAGGAGGTTGTTAGCCATCATATGGATGCTGGGAACTGAACCTGGGACCTCTGCAAGAGTAGCCAATGCCCTTGACCACTGAGCCATCTCTGCAGCCCCAAGCCTCAATTCTTTTATGCACTGTATTATATACTATGATGACTCAGGTCAGGGATCTCTAGCCCATGGCTTGCTTCACTCTTCTGTCTTCCTAGGGCACTTAGCTCTGGCAGTGATTTGTTTTCTGTTTTGAACTGAAGTAAAAGCAGTACTGAAGGCTTTGGGGAAGCAGATGTCTGTATTGACAAAATGTCTTGAACAAATTTGTGAGGCACCTTAACTATCTCAGCTTTGAAGCTGTGCCCAACTCCAGTTCCTTCAAAAGCCTGGGCCCTGGGGTGCCTTTTTCCTCTTCATTAACTCATGGGGCATTCATTCTGTTGATTTATGAACCATTGAGTTACTGCAAAACCTACCAGCCAAATTATGGGTTACACAGTGAAGATAAGGCTTGGTTATTATAGCTATTTTTATTTTTAGACATTTTTAAGGCACTTAGATATATAAATATTTGTGTATGTGTTTTATGGCATGAATTTGTCATTGTCAGATTAAACATGAAATACTGAAATATATAATGTTTCCTTTAGTTTTCTACATTGTTAGGATGAGGTTAATATATATGAATAACTACATTTGCAGAAATGCAGATTACGTTCAGTAAAGTGCTTGTAGTGTGCAGCCTGAGGACTTGTGTTCCATCCCTAGAACCCAGATAAAAAGCTGGGCATGGTGGTACTTGCCTGTAATTCCAGAGCTGGGGAGACAGACAGGCAGGTCCCTGGGGCTCACTAGCTGGCCGTTCTTACCTGCTTGGCAAGCTCCAGGCCAGTGAGAAGCTCTTCTCATAAAACAAAGGGATGGTACTTAAGGAACAACAGGCCAAGGTTGACCTCTGGCCTCTACACACACATGTGTCCACACATGTGCATGCACACAGACAAGAAAAAGTTGGCAGGATGTGAAGTGCTCACGCTGTAAGGATATTCTTTGTTTTGACAGGAGCCTCTTTCAGAATTCTTCCAGCCAGAAGAATGATGTTTTTCACTTGGATGTGAAAAATGTCAGTGGCATAGGGCAGATCCTGGACTTCATGTACACGTCGCACCTGGATCTTAACCAGGACAATATACACGTGATGCTGGACACAGCACAGTGTTTGCAAGTCCAGAATGTTCTGAATCTTTGCCACACTTTCCTGAAGTCAACCTCTACAGAGCAGCCGCCTAGCATGCCCTGTGGAGGTTTGTTCTCCCTGCAGAGCACACTGAGCCCGGATGCCACCTGTGTCATGAATGAGCCCTCCTCTCCGTCCTCACTGCAGGAGTGCTCAGCAGAGGCCCAGCCTGCTAAAGCTCTGGGTGCACTGCATCCTCCTGCTCTGTCAGCCGGTCCTCATAGGTCCGCAGGAGAAGTGTCAAAACCGGCCCCGGAAACTGGAGGGGACAGCTGCCCAGAGCTGCCTTACAGACAGCCTACCTACTGTTACAAGCTCAGAGCCTTGTACAGCAAGCAGTACTACAAACAAGCTGCTTGTTCCAGTCACGAGCGTGCCGCAGGCCAGCCGCTCCCTTTCAGTGCCTCCGCAGACCTGGCCACGGCGGACTCGCAGCCTTCTGGCAACAGCCATCCCGAATGCATCCTGGAGTCTTCGCAGCACCTGCCTTCCGCCTTCCTGGCCCCACCTCCCAGGGACTCGGGCATTGACCCTGAGGCAGAAGCCTGCCAGCTCCCTACCAAGCAGATGAGGCTGAAGAAGGCCATTCACCTGAAGAAACTAAACCTCCTCAAGTCACAGCAGTCAGCTGAGCACACATCCCTTCCCACCGCAGATGACGGGTCAGTAAGGAAGGAGGAGTCGGCTGAGGAAGGGTCAGGACATCAACCTGGAAGCCGAGGCCCTGAGCAAAAGGGAACGGAGGGCCTGGGCCCGGAGACCTTTGGCTGCACCAGCAGCGAAGTGGAGCCTCTCGAAGCCCCGGCCGTCCTGGAAGACCAGTCCCAGGCCCTACAGTCCCAGAGACAGTATGCGTGTGAATTGTGTGGGAAACCTTTTAAACACCCAAGCAATTTGGAGCTGCACAAACGGTCTCATACAGGTACACTGCCCCGAGCCGCAGGCACAGAGGAGGAAGCAGCCCTGTGCCCCACCTGCCTTGTCTGTAAGAAGCCTGGCTCCTCCTTGATGGAGCCACCGATGGTTGAATGGAGACTGGAGGGTGCTGGCTGCTTTTTACTCTGCATTGTTGGCAACTCGTCCCCACGCTCTGTACATGGTTGTGCGGAGCTGCCCTAAAAGGTGACACTTGTTTTTCACTTCCAGGGCTGTCTGGTGAGCTGCCTGTCTCTAAAGTGTAGTCAGTTACTTTGATGTGCTAAGGGTTTCTAACTCAGGCTAACAGATATCTTTCTAGAAGTAGATTAAGCTTATTTTGTCAAAGCATAATGTAGACTGATAATTGTGAAGTATAACAGTTTAAATCATTCTCAGAGTTCTCTCTAAAGTAATTTGAATGTTTATTTGAAAAGTTGTGGTTTGGGGGGTAGGAGATAAACTTTTAAATAAGAACCAGCTTTAACCGTTTGCTGTGTTCTTGTTTTTAGTGGTACTGTGATCGACCCTAGGGCCTTAAGCACACTGGACATGTGCTCTGCTGCTGAGCTGCATCCCAGCACTACTCCCCATTTGATAGTTACAGCGGAAAATTCTCCACTCCAAGATACTGAACTTGCAGTTCTGTCCTCTTAATTCAACCCTTTGCCTCTCCCCACAGACTTTTAAAAGGTGCTTCACAGTACCTGCACATCGCATTGTGTCATGCCTGTGCATTACTCTCCCTGTCATTAAATACAACAGCATTCATTATGTATTACAAATTAGTGACAGTTATTGCAGAGTCACGAGACGTGGCACACAGTGGAGTATTCCCAGAGTAGCGTGTTTGCAGCTTGTCCAGCTGCCTTCACTGCCGTGGCGGTCTTGACTCTTTGAACCCCGCGTTGGCTCAGGGGATCTCTACCTTATTGTGTCAGTGGAAACGTCATGATAAACGTCGGTGCATTCTAGTGTAAAGGCTGTTGTTAGTTACTAGTAGTTCAGAGTTAGACCATGTGAAGACATCCTGGACTCAGTTTTGCTATGAAAAAAACACTTGATTTCAGTCCTTTTGTTTCTTTCAATTCCTTCCAACCTTTGGCTTTTTTTTTTCTTTTAGAAACTTAACCTATTTAGCTTTAAAGGAGCAAAAGTAAATTGCTTATTCTGGGAGAACATCTCCAAGTGACAAAGATAGTCAGACAGAAACTCAGGGACATAAAAGCTGTGTTGAGATGGCAGCAGAGTGGCCTGGGAACCCCAGGGGTCTGTGCAGCCAGTTGTCTCACAGTTGCACAAGGCGTGGCTAGCCTTTGCTTCTCATGAGCCATGGAGCTGCCAGGGCTACATGGTGTGTGATGGTGTTGCTCTGATGGCCACTGAAGTATGGATCTGTGTCTTCAAACTGACTGTGCCTTCATCTCCATGGTGTGTATTGATAGGTACAGCCCACAGGGACAGAAGCTCTGTAAAGCCTCAATTTAACAGTGTCAAGGGAGCTGAGGCTAAAAAGTCTAAGTGCCACTGGTGTAGGGCTGTTGGCCTTGTGTCCAGTGACCCATGGCTTCTTTTTTAAACCCACTCTTATGGGAGCTTGAACTTATCATTGCTTTCTATTACCCAGTAATTATAGACACAAAGCCAGTCTCAGAACACAGACTTACATGATTACAATCTTTCAGGGCCAAAGAAGCCAGGAAACAAAAAAATCAAAAGGCCAGCTTAGCATGAGCCCACAAAACTGTGCTGTCAAGGTCTTGAGCCCTAGTGGTCCAGTAGGAGGCAGAGGGCTCTCTTAAAGAGGGTCTCAGTGAGGCCATTAGGTTCATGGGCTGGGAATGTCAGTTGAAAGTCTATTAGGGTCATATGGACTAAAGGTGGCCCTTTAAAGTACCTTTTGCAGCGCCCTTTGCTGGCTCTGTCCAGAACAGCTGTTGCCGCTTATAGCAGTCTACACTGACTGTCAGTGTGATGACTTAGCACTGAAATCAGGCACACCTGTCCTGTCACGGTGAGATCCACTCCTTCCATGAGTCTCTCACCCGAAGCTGGGAGGCAGTGCCCCTGGGGCCACTCCTCCGACCACCGGAGCCCTGCCCTTTGGGCTCCCCTGTTCACAGCTCACATGTTGTAAAGGGACCATCCACTGTGTTATAGGAGTCAGACAGAGAGGTCATGTAGTCAGGCTGAAGATAGGTGAGCAAGTTCGTGCAACAGGAAAACATTTGATTACCGAAGGAAAACTGGGCATTCTTTGAATGTAACCCAATGCATTTGACTTCATTATAGGTTTGTATTTGGAAAACCATTTGACTTTCAGAGTAAGACACACAGATTTCAGTTTTATCCCTCTGGAGCATCTCAGGGTGAGAGAAGTGGAAGGAAGTGGAAGTTTCTGGTGCCCCGACTAGGGATCAAGAATGTCATGGACCAGGAGTGATCACTCACATCTATAATCCTAGCCCTGGTGAGGCTGAGACAGGATTGCTGAGCATTCTAGGCCAGCCTGGGCTGCAGAGTGAGACCCCGTCTCGAAACAACAACCAAAGAACACAGTGCTTGACTTTGAAAGGAAGACAAGAGATGAAATTTTTTTTAAATGATTGTGCAAATTCTAGTACTGACTTGACAAACTTCTGTTTTTTTTGTTTTGTTTTAGGTGAGAAACCTTTTGAATGTAACATTTGTGGGAAACATTTCTCTCAGGTGGGAATACTCTTATTTACTGTTCATAATTGGAAACCTGAACCCGGTGCTTATCTTTATTACTAATAAGACTCACTTTTGTACTTGGGAGAGAAACTTCAAGACTTTAGACTGAACCAGGAAGTAGCTTTGAAGAACACAAACCTGTAGCTCATGGGGGGATTTGTCATATGAGTGAACCCTTAGTAGGCTCTTATTTCTCCCCACGGATGATGGCCCTGCCCCAGTCTGTGCCTTCTGTGCATGAAGTTTCCAGTGATCCACACCCAGCATGGCTTACTGGAGCCACACAGTATACTGGGCTAGGTTCAAGTCAAACAGTCCTGTTATCATGGGGACTATAGGTAGGATATTGGACAGAAACAGACTGAGTCTGTTTTGTTTCCTGCTCTGACTGCTGCTGTTTAGCTGACCTCTAGGAAGGCCATGTGGGCACGTTGGGGTTGTCTCACATTCGATCTGCTTTCCTGTGGCAGGTGCTGTGCTAGACTGGACTCAAAGGCATCCAGGGTTGTCCCCACCCCCACAGGAAATCTTTAGTGCCATTGTGTGGTGGCTGGCACCTACTTTTCTGTCTGAAATTGAGTGTCCTGTTCATGGCCACGGTCAGGACCCCAGGTTTCCAGAGCAGCGTTCTGCAGGGGACAGAGCCTGACTTGCTGTCCACTCAGTGTTGTAGATCCACGGTAGTACTGTGTGAAATTCTGCTTGGCCAGGGAAATGGCCTTGGGCTGGTCCCACTGGGGAGTGGTATGGTGGGGCTAAGAGGGCAGACCCTGTAGAATATAGGGTGGTAAGCGCTATCTTGTCATACATCCCTTCCCCCAGAGCTTCCCAGGTCCCCTGTGTCCACCAAGTATGTCAGTTCTAAGTTCCCACGCACCTGGTTCACTCTCAGCCCTCACTGGCTCCGAGGCCTCATGTGGTTAGCCCAGTCCTCCCTACGTGATGACTTAGGGACAGCACCACGTCGCGGCACCATCATGAGTTCCTAGCTCCTGGCATGTTCAGTTTGAATCTCTCTACCACCATTCCAGGGGAGACATTTGCTGCCTCCAACCCAGGCACCTGAGGGGCAGAGCTTGGCCTCTGGAGCTGAGGGGCCCAGATTTGAACTTCTTCTGTCAGGGCTTATGGCCCTGTGGCCTTAGATGAGATGGTCTCTTGTTCTATAGACAAGTATAAAGGATTACTTGTCTTGGGGAGTGTGTGAGAATAAGGAGTGTATGAGGCCAGGTTTTAGAACAGGCTCCACACAGCACGTGCTCTGGGCCTCACCTTGCTCTCTCACCTGCCCTCCCTCATGGCTCTGCACCCCAGTCTTTCTGTGGCCCATCCACCCCCAGCATTTCCATCCTAGCCACTTTGATATGGCCTAAGATGGGCTGGTGCTACAGCTCACTGGGGGCTTGCTGCTAAGCCTGACATCCTGAGTTCAATTTCTGGGACCACACGGTGAAGGAGAGAACTGATTGCTGCAAGTTGTCCTCCGAACTCCACATAAGTGCTCTGGTATGTGCATGCCACCTCTCCCCCAATAAATAAATATTAAGAAAAATAGAGAAAGCCTTGAGTCTATGTTCATGAGCACTGGTGCTCAGCAGCCTTCACTTTCCTGGGCCTGGTCCTCTTCTCACAGTGCCACGTTGTGGGGCTGTTGGAAGATGAGGTGACAAGGCAGGTGGGAGAGTCTTGTCCCTTTCACCTGTACTTGGGAGTCCCTCCAACTGCTCAGAACCCTTCTGTAGCTCCCCTGGGCCAGCAGAGTAAATGGGACCCTTGGGGACCCTGGCAGCTGCCTCCCCCACCCCACATGCCTCGTTCCTGCTTTGTATAGGGCCCTGACTGTTACTTTTCAGTGATTTGATGTGCAGCCAAGCTTGAGAACTTTGCTTTAGGTCCACGCCCATGGTCTGAATCCTTTCCAGTGGTTCTGTCTGGCAGACCCATGCTTTCTTCTGGGACGGTGTTTGCTCTTGGTTTTTATGAATGCAGAGTTGTATTTAGCTGTGGTTTTCAAGTGGGTCTTGCTGTTTTATTTTCATAGTGAACTTTTTTTTTTTTTAATGTGTCTGAGTGTATTGCCTGCATGTAGGTAAGTGCACCCGTGTCGTCCAATGCCCACGAAGGACAGAAGAGGCCATCGGATTCCCTGGAACTGGAGTTACAGACAGTTGTTAGCTGCCATGTGGGTGCTGGGATTTGAACCCGGATCTTCTGCAAGAACAACCAGTGTTCTTAACCATGGAGCCGTCTCACCAGCCCCCATAAGTGAACTTTTAAAAAAGCTTAATTCAGCGAGTGTGTGTTGTAATCTGCAGTGTTGCTGAGCTGCCCGTAAGCTCTGCCACGTGTTGGGATGGAACATTTAGAGGAAGAAGTTGACTGACCAAGGACAGTGACATGCTGCCATGCCCCCTCAGAGCATGTGTAGGCACAGTGCAGGCAGAGAGAAGAGGTGGTCATGCCCACTTAGCAGGTGGGGAGTCTGGGGCAGCACTTGAGTGTGCCTGGATGAGCCTTGGAGATCATCTAGCGTCGGTGTGCCAGGGCAGGAGGTGAGAGTGCTGTTTGCACAGGGGTACCTAGATGCTCTGGGGATGACAGGAGCACCAGGCAGTCACAGTACATTGGGGTGCCACCTCCTGGTCTGCCAGAGAGCCCAGTACTAGTGAGCTCCAAAGGACTTTCCTTGCTAAAAATTCAAAAATTAGAAAACATTTTCTGGTAAGAATCTGATCCTGTTTCCTAAAGGTTTGGTAGTAAGAAGGATTAGTCTTTTTGTTTATTTGAAGCTAACCACAGCTTTAATAATGAGTTAACCAGCGCTGTATCCCATCAGCCACTATCATCTTGAGTTGCAATGATGGAACGCTCAGCTGTTCATAAGGTCTTCATGCCACAGCTGGTCACCTAGGGTGTGGCTGAGTCTATGTGCTTCCTGTGAGGCACACAAGGACCCAGTACATTTAGGACAACCACAGGAGAGAGGAAGCCTAGCATGTGTCAGCTGCCTTTGGAGAAGAACAGAGCTATTCTCCCCAGGGGGGTAGGACAAGCCTTGGGCAGCTGGTGCAGGAGTGTTCTAAGAGGCAGAGAGCTACTGGAGAGTTTAGATGGGACGGCTCCCCAGGACCAGGCAGTGTGTTCCAGAAGCCTTTGGTGCAGTCAGAGGCAGGGTCCTGGGGTGCTGGGCTAATGCCAGAGTGACCACTCACCCTCATTCTTGGTAAAAATGCAAAAGCAGGACATCTGGGTGATCATGTCCTGGGTTACTAAACCTTCAGTTTAGGCCATTCCCACACTTAGCGTGCATTTAGTCCTGGCATTTGGTCAGTATAATATTGTTAGGGGAAATGTGTTAATCCTTGGTTTCTTTTTAATTTTACTATTATTGGAAATCCTAAAGACTGGAAACTCATCAACTAGATGACTTTAATGTCCAAGGTGCCTCCCATCTCTGGGTTTGTGAGCCCTTGATTGTCACATAGCACTCAGCCACCATTGGCGGGAAGGGAGGCTAGGTAGGGTTCTTTATGGCCAAACATTGATGTTCACATCTGTACCAGAAAGTTGATAATAATATTCAACTAAGATGTTACTTTTTAATATTTTATATTTCATTTATCTATTTGTTGGGGGGTGGGGGGAGTCTGCATTCATGTAGAGGTTGGAGAATAATTCCTGAGAGTTGGTTCTCTCCTTCCACCTTGTGGGTCCCGGGGGTTCCCAGGCTTGGTGGCAAGCTTCTTTAGCCCTGAGCCATCTCACTGGCCCATAAGATGTTAACTTCTTTCCTCTAGTAGAGTTTTCTGTTAAAAAATTCTACCTTAATTTAAAAGTAATTACAAATAAAATTCCTTTTTTTTTTACAAATATATGTTCAGCAAAGTTTGCTTTAGGTCAGTAGCTAAACCCAGTTAACTCATTCAGTCCCAGGCTCGTGACCCCAAGGCCAGTGCCACTTCCTGCCCTCTCTGAGCTTTAGCTCACTTCTCTATGAATGTAATAGAGCTTCACAAGCCATGAGTGATGGAGCAGAGCCGTGCACACAGCTGCTAGTGGAGCTCAGTGCAGTGTCCGCAGACACAGCTGCGGGTCTGTGACTTGGGGTCTCATCAGTGTGGCTGCAGTCTACCAAAAACAAAAGGCTGCCTAGCGTCCACTGACGTAGGCCTGGGTCTCCCATGCAGTCTGCTGTAAGTTATCTAAGTGCACTGTAGTTTTGTTTCTGGTGGTTTTGTCTGGATCAGTTTTATTTCATCTGTGTTTATACTGTTTATCACCCCAATATGTGCGCTACTTTATCTGAGGAAAAGATCATTATTTTCGTTATGTATTTCCAGTATGAAACAGGAAAAGAAAACTGTTAAGGTTGCTGCTGCTGCTTTCGCTGTGTTTTGTTTTGTTTGAGACAGTCTCCGTACGTAGCCCTGGCTGTCCTGGTATTTGTTATGTATCCTAGACTGACCTACAGCTCAGGGCAGTCCTCCTGCCTCAGCCTCCTGAGCGCTGGAATTACAGGTGTGCGCCACCACATCCTACTGTTTATTACACTAGAAGGTGAAAGACTGCTGGATTATGTTTACTTTGAAAATAAGGGACACCTTACAGGGGGAGGGGTCCTCGCTAAGAATTGGCTCAGACTGCATTTCCATCACAGTACATATTTATAGAACACCGTAGATAGAGATCCACTCAACAGGTCAGCAGGTGCGCTGCTCAGAGTGTTGTAAACGTGGTACACAGGATTGGTTTTTGTGAAATTGGAAGTTGACTAAAGCAGTTAGTATTTGAAACCTCAGCTGTCCACAGAGCTGTGTCCCTGCCAGAGGACGGTCATGTTGACTTCAGGAGCAGAGCAGTCTCTCTTGGTCTCCACCACGGTAGAGGAGACTTTAGCCTCACAAGAACCAAGGCTACTAGCCCTCAGCCTAACATGTAACTGGGACACCCGCTCTGGGCATACAAATCTGTTTTCCAGCTAGCACATAGAACACCAATTGCCAGTGGCGTGTAAAAGCCTAATTAGAATTTCAGCAAGTGGATTTTGCTGTTGTCATTTGTTATTTTATTATTAATCTCCACTCTACTAAAAGCCAGCTATTTCCCAAACTTCTGCTAAATTCTCTTTGGTTATTGAAAGCCCTTTTTTCTCTAAGCTGTTTGTCAGAGTCTCAAATGTGGTATCTAACTCAGGTCTTCCTTGGTGGGGTCACAGACAACATCTCTGTATCTGTGACCTGCAGGTGGACTCGTGCCATAACTGTCTTTGCATTTTGCTTAAGATATGACTCACAGATTTTACAAAGAGCCAATTTAATTAGTCTGTTGTTCAGTGTCCCTCCCGACTCTTGCGCACTGCGGGAGTGCGGCCAGAGGGTATATTAGTTTATTTGTGTGGGTTTGTTTGGCAACAGGACTTTAACAGCTTGAGATTATTCAACTGCAGCAACGGAAGGCTTTGCCTCCCAGCCTTAATCAGACGTGTTACCACGTAGCCTTTTAAATATGGAGGCATTTGCACTGTAACCTCACTGTACTTTCCTAGTTTGCTGCTGATTTCGTAGTTATTGTTACATGGAACTTATCTGGTGAGTTGTTTCAGGCTCGAGCCCTGCTAGTTGCACAAATTAGGGACACAAAGACCCATAATGCTGCTGTTACTCTCCAGCGATGTGCTTTTATACAAAAGTAAATGTGACAAGTTTGCCAGAGCCAACCTCACTGCCAGAGGAAACACTTTCTAGAAATGTCTTTTCCTTCTTTTGAATGAAAGCATGTGTTTTAGAAAGAGATAGTGAGTGGGGAGATATGCAGGTCCAAGTTCTTCTCCAGATGATGCTGTGTGTGGGTGGTCCAGGTAAAATATATCAGGGTCTGTTAAAAACAAGCCTGGGAACTGGAGTTCCTCCCCAGGGTTGGAGGTGCATTTATGAGGAGGCATTGCAGAACAGCTGCCTGTGGGAAGCCATGGCAGCCTCTGGGGAGCACAGCAGCCTGTCGGGGACCATGGCAGCCTGTGGGGGGCAATGGCAGCCTATTATGGGGGCCACAGCAGCCTTTGGGAAGACAACAGCCAGGGCTCCTTGTGCAGCAGGTGGCTGGGCAGAGGTTGAATTGGCTCCCTTATACAGAGCTTCCGTTGACTTAAGCCTACCTGCTCTTTATCTGAAGCTCTGTGGGAACCTGACTACATCGTCAGTTTCCCCTTTGAATTTATAAAACGCTTTTCTAGGCTTTCGTTATTGGTGTTTTTCTTTTCCTCTCTTTATAGGCAGGTAACCTGCAGACTCACTTACGCCGGCACTCTGGGGAAAAGCCATACATCTGTGAAGTCTGTGGAAAGAGGTCAGTGCTGGGCTCCTGGTGCTGTTTGTGAGGGACCGTGTGTGGTCCAAGAATGTTGTAATTTCATGTCACTGGCATATAAGGGCTCACTCTGCACCTCTGACTGTTCATGCCCCATACAAGAGCAAAGAAAACCTAGGACAGGAGTTTCGGGAAAGGAAAGCGACTTCACACGAAACAAATTAGCTTATGCTAAAACATTCATTCATCTTAAAAATGCCCATGATAGTAAGACCTCGAAGGAGGGGACTGTGCAGTCAGGGAATCAGTGCTTGCAGCCTGAGTGACTAGACCTCAGGAGAGGTGGTGGCAGAAGGGGCCTGCACCATTCTGATCGGGCCTGCTGCCTCCAGGACAGATGGATGGCCTTGGCAGGTAGGTTATGACCTGGAAAGTGAGCATTGACATGGCAACAGAGAATCTTCCTCTTTTGGTGAGTTGAGATGTGTGATAGGTGATTACTTCACAGGCAACAGCCTCTCCCCTCCCTCCTTCCCCTCTTGATAACGAGCCAGGGCCCTTGTAGTTCACCATCTAGCCGCTGTGCTGGGCTATAGGTAGCAGCCAGGACCACACAAGCCTGGTGGGCATCCCGTCACATCGTGCTTAGAGTCTATCATTTCACTACTTGATCATTCTGCATTTGTTACTCCCACCGTCTGCCCAGTGCTCTGAGGGGAGGATAGTGCAGGTACTAAGCCTCTGCACTCAACTCAGCAGCTCCTCAGGGTCAGAGATGGGTACAGGGACACTTAGAGTCAGAGTCCTCCAATACAGTCTGCAGCACCTGCTTTAAGCACAGCAGAGGGGGATGCCAGCCCTGAGTTGGCTTCAGGAATATGGCTGCCTCCACGGAGGTGGGAAACAATGAACAAAGGCTGACCCACCCACCACAGCCCTTCTGCTGCAGCCGCCTCAGCAGTCAGGTCGGGCTCAGTCGCCATCATCTGGCCCCATTAGGGGCCCGGCCCCACGGGACCTGCTGCCTCACACCGTCACTTCGCTGTGGGCCCCTGAGTGTCTTTTGCACAGTGTTTAAAATTAGGATCCCGTGAATTCCATGTAAGATCATCTCTGTGCAGCACCTTCTCAGAATGTAGCCCGGTGTCTGTCCTGAGTGGCAGTCAGGAAAGCAGGCCAGGAGGGCGTGACTGTCAGCCCAGACTCCGGGCATCTTGGCACATGCTCCGTTTCCTATCAGAAGATGGGGCGAAAGGATCTCTCCGTGTGTGGAGAGAGGGAAGGTGATACCTGGTGTGCTATGGGCTGGCAGTAGGTGCTAAGTGAAGGCTGGGTCCCTCTTCAGCCAGTTCCCTGTGTCCCGTTTTAGGACAGATGTGCGAGTCTCCAGTGAGGCTGGGGAGATCAGCAAGCCCATTCTCTAGGGCAGTGCAGGAGGGCAGCCTGTCCCCTGTCTACAAAGGAGCTCCTCTGTGCACTCTACCCTGGAACAAGCACAGCGGGCCCCTGCCACAGCTAGGCAGAACTCACCCTGAGCCCTCAGCATGGGCCTTGGTCGGCACTGCCACATGGGTGCTGTCCTTCAAGCCAGATAATTCCAACAAGATGGCAGCACCATAGGGCTTCACTGTCCTCTGAGCTGTGAGACTTGCTGGTGAGATGGGGCAGAGTCAAGGCACTTGCCACCAAGCTGACAACTGAGTTCCATCCCCGGGACCATGGGGTGTGAGGAGAGGAACAGAGTCCCCAGGTTTCTCTGACCTCCAAATGCAAGCCACGGTGCACATACACATACACTAAGTAAATGGATATGATTTTTCAAAGAGATAAGGGAAAATGAACTCCAAGACTCTGTGTCCCTCCCTAGCTGTAGGAAGTCTGGTCTTGTGCTGTCAAGTGGGACAGTGTGTGATGAAGCACGCAGAAGGGTTTGAACAGAACGCTGGCTTCATTTTCTTCTTTCCCTAAGACAGAAACAGGCAGGGTTTAGTGCTCATTTCAGAGGAAGGCGGGCCACATGTGGCTCCATTTGAACTGGGGTAGAAATAGACTGTCTCCTCTGCATGACCTCACTTGTCAAGGTCTCAGCAGTGTCACCAGGCCCCAATAGAACTTTCCACTGCCGTTGCAGGTTTGCGGCCTCTGGTGATGTCCAGCGTCACATCATCATTCACTCTGGAGAGAAGCCACACCTGTGCGACACGTGCGGCCGAGGTATAGGCGAGTAAGAGAGGGACGCCCGGTCCTCTCCTGCTTAAGGAGGCAGCTGTCCTGCCCGCTAACCCTGTGCTCTCTCTAGGCTTCAGCAACTTCAGTAACCTGAAAGAACACAAAAAGACACACACAGCTGACAAGGTGTTCACATGTGACCAGTGTGGGAAGTCCTTCAACATGCAGAGGAAGCTGGTGAAGCACCGTGTCCGACACACAGGCGAGCGGCCCTACAGCTGCTCCGCCTGCGGTGAGTCTGACTGCCGCTGCCAGCCGGTGGGCCTCCCATCACGCATGTGCTGGAGTCTGCCCGCTCTTGCCTGCTGAGCCGTGTCTTCCATAAGTCACTTGTTTGCTCATGGGGAAGTGATACTGTCTTTGCCTCCTCACGTAGTCCATTCATAGGAATGATGCCACATATCAGACAGCGTGTCTTTGAGGTATCAGGAACTGTACCCCAGTCCTGATGAGAGGGAGTAGGCCCTGGAAAAGTGTGGAGTGTGTGGAGAGCACATTGGGTACTTGAGTCACAGATTAGAAAGCAGGGGCTCTGTCTCGGCCTCAGTGAGGGCACTGAGCATGGAAACTGGTGAGCAGGTAGCCCTTCATCCCAGGTGCCTTGCTACAGATGGAGACCGACAGCCTGTGGCCACAGTGTTGGATCAAGATTCACACACCCCCAGGCTCTCCCCTGAGGAGGACACGTGCCTATGTACCAGTGTGTGTCCAGGACAAGTGCTTGGCGACGCTGATGGAGTTGTAGGTGACTGAGAAATGACACTGATCTCGTTACGATGGTCTGTTTAGAGCAGATGAGGTGCTCAGAGTCCTGTGTAGGAGCCTGGATCAGGCACTACTGAGTGCTGGAACTGCGCTGGACATCTTACTTATCACAGGCTTTGGGAACACTGCCAGGGACAGCTTGGAGATTAGCCAAATCCACACCATCACTCCAAGAAATCAGCTTTCACCAGGCGTGGTGGCACATGCCAGGCTAGCCAGGACTACGACACATAGTAGGACCCTGTCTTACAAAAACAAAAAGAGATCAGGATTCAGTTCTGTCTTAGAGGTAACAGCCATGACTAGTTCGTGTACACTAGGGACCCTAGAAATAGCAGTGGCGCACGCCTTTAATCCAGCACTCAGGAGGCAGAGGCAGGTGGGTCTCTTAGTTCAAGGCCAGCCTGATCTACACAGCGAGTTCCAGGTCAGCTGGGGCTACGGGGAGACCCTGTCTTAAAAAGACAAAAAGTAAAGAAAGAAAGAGATGGTGGTTCCAGATGGCCCCGTAATTCTGTAGGTGTGCGTTATCTTGAGGGCTCAGTGAGAGACAAAGCATTCATACTATGCCCAGAGCTGGTGGGGAACATCACTATTCATAGTGTGTGGCAGATGTAGCTATGACGATCCCTGAAGACACTGAGCCTGGTGTTGGGCAAACCATGGTGGAGGATCACAGGCAGTGATTTGCAGTGGGTGCTGTTTCAGGTTTTGTGTGGAAGTATCCACGGCTTGTTGTCTGGATAGTCCCATCTAGTTTGCTTATCCAAAGGCTTTTCTTCTGGGTCCTGCCCCACCCTGACCCCCACACAGTGCAAGGTCTGCATAGCTGAGCCACTCGGAGTGACATCCAGCGAGTGAGAAGTTCCAGTTGTGTCCCATATAAAGCGGGTGCTTTACCTCAGGTAGCCCTCTGTGAAAGTTAGGCCTTTCATGGGGATCTACTGAGTTCTCTCTCATCACCGCCCTACCTGTTTTAATTACGGAGTCCATGTACACAGAGAAGGTGCAGAGCCTGAGGAGTAGAATCGAGTCTTGGCAGAAGCTGGCCACATTCACATCTTCAGGAAAGTTGTTGTTCAGTTCCAGGTGGGCGGGGCCATGCTGTCACTGTAGTTACTGCTGCATTGCTGTGACTACGGCTCCTCACGGAATCCACTTAAGGGAGGAAAGCTTTGTTTTGGCTCCAGGTTTTAGAGGGCTGCAGTTCATCAAGGTGGGGAAGGTGCGTTGGAGCAGCTCTGTTCCTGGAGGCAGCAGTATGTGGTGGAGGCTGTTCGACCTACAGTGGGTCAGAACAGAGAGAAAGGGAGAAGACAGGGGCAGGTAGAGCCTTCACCAGTGAAGCCCTAACGACTGCACACCATCCCCAGAGAGCATCATTGGCGGGGGACCATTTCAGACTCAAAGAGTAACAACCACAAATGCTCAGTACCAGGTGAGGAAGAGCTGCTCCTCAGCCAGGTGGGAGCAGGTGCACTGGCCATGTGGCCAGGCCCTGACCATGAGGCCCTAGAGGACTTGTGCTGAGAGTCTCAGACCCCAAGGGCCCATCTGAGGCAACTCCCCAAAGTGAGGATGATCTCAGGCCACCCGCTCCCCTTAGATGAGTCAGTATCACAGGAGAGGGAGGAGAGATCCTTCTAGAAAGGCTCTCTAAAGCATTCCTTCTGTCTGTGCAGGGAAATGCTTCGGGGGCTCAGGTGACCTGCGCAGGCACGTCCGCACGCACACTGGGGAGAAGCCATACACCTGCGAGATCTGCAGCAAGTGCTTCACCCGCTCCGCGGTTCTCCGGAGACACAAGAAGATGCACTGCAAAGCTGACGCCAGGAGCCCAGCCCTGCTGGATGAGCTGAGCCAGGCCATCGAGACCTCTGACCTGGACAGGTCTCAGAGCTCTGACTCCTTCTCCCAGGACATGTCTGTCACATTGATGCCAGTGTCAGTCAAGCTTCCTGTCCACCCAGTGGAGAGCTCTGTGGCAGAATTTGATAGTCACTCTGCTGGCTCCTACTGTAAGCTACGCTCTGTGCTTCACACTCCTAGCATGAATGACCAGGAGAAACTGAGTCTAGATCCCACCAAGCTGGCCAAGCCCCAGGAGCTACAGAGCCAGCCTCAGGCCTACACTTACTCAGATGTGGACTCCTCGGTGGGCGGAGAGCACCTGCAGGCTGATGGCACGGCCATGGTCCGCTCCTCCCTGGCCGCTCTGGACAACCAGTGCGCTGACCCTCTGGGTGGCCGGGCACCTTCGGTGACATACAGGAACTCCGAGGGACAGTTTTTCTCCAGTATGACTCTCTGGGGTTTGGCGATGAAGACGCTGCAGAATGAAAATGAGCTGGAGCAGTGACATGCCACCTTGGTGTCCCCAGCACTGTCCGTTGGGTCTTGAGCCACAGGAGAGAAGTGTCCTGCTCGGGATGCTCCCCTCTAGCTTTGGAGAGCGGCTGGATGACTTTCCTCCTGATGATCACTCATAACTGAAGGACCATAAGCTTGAACTTGGGAGGAACCCGCCCCACCCCAGGAGGCAGATGAGGATGGCGATGGCGGAGCTTGCTTCCTGGCAGCCTCGGTGTGAGAGACAGCTGGTGGACATAAGACAGACAGATACCTTGTGTCAACTACTGTGCAGTTTGGTCCTGGTAGATGACAGATGTATGTATAATAATACAGGTACTATTTTTGCATTTTAAAAGATTGAAATTTTTAGCATCTTATATTTTTAAATATTTCCACAGATTCTATTTGTGTATGAAACTTGTAATTTAATGTGAATAAACGGGCTCGCCTTTCTATCCAACTTTGTGTCATTTTTGCCAGCATTTTTGCTAATCTGACGACTAGCACTATAAAAATAAGTATTAGGGCTGGGTGTGGTGGCACATACCTTTAATCCCAGCACTCAGGAGGCAGAGGCAGGCGGATCTCTGTGAGTTCAAGGCCAGCCTGGTCTACATAGTGAGTTCCAGGACAGCTGGGGCTACAGGAAGACCCTGTCTCAAAAAGACCAAAAAAAAAAAAAAAAACAGTATCAGTGTACAAGGTCCTGAGTTTGATCCTCAGCACCACCCAAAAACGGTATCAAAAACTCTGCTGGGAGGATAAGCACTGGGCCCAGTGGGGCCGCCAGCCTGGCCTTGGGTGCAGAGCTGTCAGAACAGCCCAGCAGACACCCCTGGGTGGGTCTCCACCAGCCTCTTGGCCCCTGGGACCAGGTCTTCCTGACTGCCTACTTCAGTGTGAGGTGAGCATCTTGTAGAGCTCATACTTTGACACACTTGGAAGCTCCTGCAGCCTCTGCCCTTGACCTCTCACCTCCCTGAGAACCTGAGGGCCTCTGTGAGAACATGTGTCCACAGGGCTGTCGCTGGGATGTCCAGGTGAGCATGGGTGTTCACATGCAGCCCTCTGTAGCAAGTGTGGATCTCTGTCAGAATGCTTGAGAGCACCTTTGAATGTTCATGTTAGCAACTAGCTCAGAAATACACGGTGCCCCTCGAGAGCCCGGCGAGGCTGTGAGGGTTCCACAGCGAACAGGCAGCCCGGCACGGTGTCGTCCATGAGTGCAATCCAGGTTCCCTTCCCAGTTCCCTAGCCTCTGACTGCCATGGTCCCCCAAGGCTGGCACAGCGGACAGGGCCAGAGCTTCCTGAGGGTTGGGCGGCCTGCCCCAGGACATGCCGGAGCTACCTTGTGTGGTACCAGCCTGCGTTGAACCTGGAGTATGATGGTTGTCAGTGGATGCTGGCCCCTGCTGCCCTCCCACTTCCCTCCCACCTCCCATTGCCTCTCCCAGCTTTGGTAGCTGTTCACCTCCGTGTGTCACACACTCCCATGATCCCTCAGCTCATCCCCACGGAGCTCTCCAGTCAGGCTAACACGCCACAGTCCTTAGGCCACAGCTCTCTTCCCAATCATCCATCACACTGATGTACAGCCCGGCTTTCCTCCCTGTGTGCAGCTGGACTTTGGTTTCTACACAGCCCTTCTGAGCCCTTACACATCCCACAGCCACTGTGCTGTCCTGCATGTCCTCCAGCTCCTTGGGCTACTGTATCTACTGATGACCTCAACTCCCTTTGCCATCAGAATGCGGAAACAAACGGGAACTTTCCCCCAACCCCCGCTACCCCCAGCCTGTGTCTGCATCTGTAGTACCCCAACTCACTGAAGACCCCCAACCCCTTGTGCTGTCCCTAGGCTGCCCCCTTGAGCACACTTTTTGTTTGTAAGCTCAAGGTTGTCTGAGCAGTGCCTGACACTTACCCAGGGAGGCATTCTGAAAGACCTTTTCATTGAAATGTTGGTTGGTCCACCTGGCTGATCCTCCTTCCCCCCGCCCCCCAATCTTGTTCATTCAGGTTTTCAGCCCATTGCTACATGAGACGTCTTTTGTCAGACCACCAATGACCTCACCTTTGCAATTCAGTCCCCGTCTGAGGTGACTTTCAGGCCATACACTTGAGCAGTGTATGGATCTTTCCTCCTCCCTAGCACCGCCGTCCGCTCCAATGACGAGGCTGAGCACCAGACGCCCTCCTTGCCGATGCCAACCACCTTCAAACATGAGGTGCTCCAGAGCTCAGGCCCTGGATGCTCTGCTCTTGCCCACCCCCTAGGCCTCCTCACCACTAGTGACCTTGGTGCACCCGTGTGCTATGTCCCTCTTGTCCTGGGCCTCTCCTCAGAACCCCAGAGTTCCCCTGTGCGCAGCTGCCTTCCAGCATCTGTGTCTGATTGACCAGTGGACATCTCAAGCTGCAAGCCTCCAGGGCTAAGCTTGCCTCCTCCCACACGCTTCTCCCCAACTCTTACCACCTCTCTAAACACCATCCCATTCTAGTTGCTCACCCCAAACCCGTACAAGCCATCGAACTTTCATTGAAAGACTTCAGGCGCCAGCTCTCCCATAGACTCAAAGAATAAGACCTGCCTAGGCCTCAGTAAGTGGTCTGGAATAAATTTGCTTGATGGGGGCAATAATTAGATCTCATAGACTAAAACTTCAGGGAAAAAATTAAAACTGAAGCTGGACTGAGGATGTAGCTCAATTGGTAAAATGCTTATCTAGCACACATTCCAGATGGAGTTCCATCTCCAGCATCACACAAAACCAGGCATTAGGGTACATGCCTATAATCTCAGCACTTGGGAGGTAGAGGCAGGAGGCTCAGAAACTCAAGCTCATCCTCAACTACATAGTGAGTTCAAGGCTAGCCTGCGATACATAAAACTCCATCTCAAAAAGAAATAGGAAAGGGGTGGGGGCGGAGACCAAAGCTTTTAAGTACATACTTCCTGTCCCTTGCTGGTCTCCCTTTGTCACTTTATTCCCAAGGTTTACACTAAATGAAAAAATGTTCAGACAAGATGAAAAGACCTTGATTTTGTGATGAGCACACAGCATAAGCCATCTACTCTGTGTATGTATGCTTATGCTTGTGTGTATATTTGTGTGCATGTGTGTACACACATCCATTGATCCCAGAGTCAGGAGACCAGGCTTGTGTTCTGGGTTCCTTCACTTGCTGACCAGGCGACAAACTACTCCTTTTCCTCGCTGGTCTTCAGCACCCCAGAATACTACGGGATGCGGTGACATTTCATTTCTATTGCTCTGTGACCCTCTACAAGCAGCCCGTGGCGAGTTCCTATGGATCTTGTCAGGATCAAGCACTGGCTTTGTTGCAAAATGGGGGCAGAGGCTGAGACTGGGGAGATCATCAGAGTCCCAGTACCATAGTGCCTGAGCTGGAAAGAACCTTAGAAATGCGCCCTGTTTCTGGGGGTCTCGGAGTTCTGTGAGCCCAGCTGTAAAGTCTATGAACCATGTGGATATTTACAAGTGCTGCTTCTGTGAATCAAGGTCACTTGAACAAGTTTTTTTTTTTTTTTTTTACAAGATCCAGAGGCAGTCAGGGCCAGGACAGGACCTGAGAGGATGCTGACCTAGTCTTTCTTCATTGTATAGACCTTGACGTGGGCCCTGGCATGGGACTTGCCTAACTACAACAATACGGAGCCTGCCCGTCCTGTGCCGGGCATGATGGTGAATCCTTTTCTCATGCCAACTCATTCACAGTTCCTAACAGCCCCATGAGGTAGATCTCACAATTGCCATGTTTCCAGATGGGAAAACTGACGCCCTGAGAGTCAAGAAACTTAATACTATCCAGCCAGGAAATAACAGAGTTAAGGCCCACTGGTCCCAGGGCACCTTGGCAGCAAAGCCCACGGCCATGGTCAGTGCCAAGTGGGATGAAAGGCTGGCTCACCTGCCGGGGGATGACAGGCCCAGAAAGAACATTCTGCTGCCATGACGCACACAGAACTTGAAACTCACTCTTCTGTAGGGTATAGTCAGCTGGCCGTCACTGCAAAATACCAGAGATAAATCAACTTACAAGGAGGAAAGGCTCATTTGGGTTCACCATTCCAGAAGTCCATGGTCACTTGGCCCCATTGCCTTTGAATCTGTAGAAAGAACATCACAGTACGATAACAGAAGGTAGCTCACCTCATAGGGGAGGGGGGGAGGGGGAGGGGGAAGGAGAGGGAGAGGGAGAGACAGAGACAGAGACAGAGAGAGACAAGAGAGAGAGACAGACAGAGAGAGAGAAAGACAGGGGTCCCCATATCCCCTTCAAGGGCCCATCACAATGGCCTAACTTACTCCTCCTAGACTCTGTCTCCTAAGGGTTCAACCACCTCTAATAGCACCACAAAGGGGACCAAGCCTTCAACACATGTGCTCTCAGGGGACAGTCCAGATCCAAGCTGTAGCACACGGAGCATCTTACAGCCTTCTGTTTTAGTGTAACTTCTTCTTCTTAAACCACTTAAGTACTAACACGTATGTCACCTGTCATCTGGCCAAGGGTTCCTTTGCTAGTCAGATGGAAACTGACTAGGCAAGGAGAGGCTCTCCAGATGCACTCTCCAGCAGCCTTCCTTCAGTGGCTTGGGGAGCCAGGCCAGCAATGTCAAGAGGTGTCCTCTAGCGTTACAGTCCTCACCAAGGCCTCCTCCAGCACTGGGAGCCTTGGCAGAGAGAGGCCAGTATCAGAGCTCTCGGACCTGACAGCTCTCTGGAACTCTTCTGGGACCTTATAGCCATCTATCAGCAATCTGCTCTCATCTCTCTACTTCTGTTTCCTTTCTCCTTCCTGTCCTGGCCGCTCACCAACTGTTTGACTGTCTGACCTTTCCACAACTTTGAGGCCACTCCCAAAGTAAGGGTACTATGTTTAGGACAGGGTGTGAGCTGGTGCACTCGCCGCTGTCTGGGAGTCAGTGCCCTGTGTGGGCCAGTCAAGAACTAGTCAGGTGAAGTTGGGATCACTCATCCACAGACACCGGCTAGGTGGGGTGGAGGCGGGTGGGGGGCAGGGGTCCGAAGCTGTAGCTGACACTTGTGCTGCCCGTGGGAGGCCTCTGTGGCCAGCTCCTCAGCGGCATCCAGGCACCTACTGCTTCTGCAGGACTCGAGTGGCGTTCATATGTACTGTGCAGAGAAGCCAGGCCCTAGGGATTGAAAACGGGGCTCTGGCCACAGGCAAGGCTGTTTGGGAGCCAAGCCAGGGGGACTACCTCCAAGGTTGCTGGCCACCTTCAGCTGTCAGGCCACGGCTGCCACCGACTGGCCCTGCCCATGTCTGTGCTCATCACCACTCTCTGCTGCTTCTGTCATTTTGTAACCAGCTCAACTACGGAAAGTGGTCAAAGGCACACCAGGACCTAATCTTCAACACCAGGGGGAGGCAGCACAGGAGGGCAGCTCCCAGCCGGC